ATGTGGTGCTGGGGGATTGAACTGCGGTCCCTGTGCTTTGCTAAGCTTGTTCTAAGTAGGTGCTTTAGACCACTGAGCCATCTCACCAGCCCAATAATTTAAGATTCTGTAGATGACAGCAGAAAAATTTAGATCCTGAGATCAGTTGCATTTCGAAAAGCTTTAACCCCATTTGTCACAGCAAATTGTAAGACCTATTCAGGTCTCAGGAGCTCAAAAGTCAATGCTTTCCCCCAAAGGAATAAGGTGCCAGTCTAGTCTTAAAAGATGCCCTCACACTAAGTGACCTAACTACATACCCCATAAACTTTCTCCTTCCCTATTTTCACACCTGGTCAGCAGGGTTTTTTGGCTAGTAGTTTCCTTAAGAGAATGTGGCTTACCTTATCAGAACAAGTATTATCATCAGGTCCGCCACCGATCACAAACAGTTTGCCCACACAGCTGGTCACAGCAGGGGAACTCACTGCTTCCTTAAGGGGAGCAACTTCAGTCCACCGATTTGAGAAGGAATCATAACACTCTACACTGCTAAGTCTGTTTTGCCCATCGTAGCCTCCAACAACATATACCTAAGTGTAAAGTAAATGAAAAGCATCCTATGAACGGATTAAATTTTGAACAAGTTGGTTAGACAACTTAGGGATTCCCTATTCTTTATAAAGCCCTTCATTATGGTGTACTCTGTACATGTATGAAGTCTCTACAAGGAGTACAGTCATCATGTACTGCAAATACATCCAAAAGAAAAGCTCCGGATAACGATAATGGCAACAGCTCAGGTTTCTGGGCCCTTTAAAAAAAACCAGTCCTCTTACTCCTACCACCATGGGGCTTTTGTTTCTTTTTTTTTTTTTTTGGCAGAACCAGGGATTGAACTCAGGCCCTTGCCAGGCAAGTGCTTGTTCTACTGAGCCATCTTCTGGCCCCCTTTTGCTTCCTTAACAGCCCCCTTTTAACAAAGTTTCAGTATTATAGGCACGTTGAATATTTGTTTACTTTGCTGTATATGCATCAATGTTTTACACACAAAGAGTAATTTTTCAGTCCCTCAAGAACCTATCTCCATCACTCCAGCGGGGGTAATACTGCTTGGGTTGGGGATTGCATGA